CTCTTCCAAGACAAAAGCTGTATTCCATTTGCTCCTGCCCCCCAGCACCACCACTGCAGGAACACCGGTTGCTGCAAGTGTTTAGCATTTCTGTAATTTCACTCTGACTGTCAAGAGAGCGCTCACACTCTGGGGAGCAGCACTCCCATCTCCATAGGTCTATTTAACCTTGCTTTGTTTTTACTTTGCCATCGGTCCTCAGTTTCCCCACAGAGGTGCCAGGGTCTCCACCTGAGACAATCACTTTAAGACCACTCGCCGTTCCTGCAGCTGCAGCCCAGCCTACCTGGCACACAGCTTTCTGTCCAGCCAAGCCAATTCAGCCGCTATTGGTCACTTCTGAGCAAGGGCCTCCCCTTCCCCTGAGCACTTGGTAATGCATATTACTCCAGCAAAGATCATCAGCCTGACTCCCCGGCTCTGCTAAGCAGTCCTAGTCTCTCTGAAGCCCCATTTGCAGCACATGGCAAGCCCCAGTGCACAGCCACATCACAGCAGCACATCTCAGCACATCTCACAACCCAGGGGGGTTGGACTAGGTGACCTCTAAAGGTCCCTTCCAACCCAAAACATTCTATGATGCTATGATCTCTGTCCCCATGTTTCACAGCCACCCCTTCTGCAGCTCCCTAGCCAGTGCTTTTGGATCCTACACATGGAGGCAGCACTGCACCAGGCCACGGGGGAAGGGGCTTGGAGGAAGCACCTGTCCACCTCTCCCCAATCACCAGCAATGGTCTCACCAGGTCCCTCTTTTCTCCACCTGTGCACACGCTGTCTGCACTCACCCCTGGACACACAGCGGCTGCACCATTTCCATGACCGCTATTCCCAGGACCGGGATCATGGCTCCTTCCAGAGTCCCTCTCATTACTCCAGTTCTGGACTGTCACAGGGCTGGGCATGCTCCAACAGCTACTGTCCCAGGCAAAACAGTCTCATCTCAGGGCAATCCGAGCTGAGTTATTGCCAATTAACACAAACTTACTTCACTGATTCAGGTACTGAGGAGGGTAAAAAAGAACACAAAACAAAACACTTCAGGAAATGCCTTTCCTCCCCCTTCCCCAGCCTCTAAGTCAAATGCCAGTCCTCTCCCTGTCCTCATCTCCGCTTCCCCCATTTTCACCACAGATTACACCTAGTCCATCCCAATCCCTCCCCCGAGGCAAGGGCAGCCTGGAAGGTGGGGCTGGGTGCCTGACGCTTCCCTTCCCCCCCCA